CATGCCTGGCTCATTTTTCTCTATATATTAGTTGGCCAATTAATTTCTTTCTATTTACAGTAGAGACGGAGTCTCACTCTTGCTCAGGCTGGTTTCGAACTCCTGACCTCGAGCGATCCTCCCACCTTGGCCTCCCAGAGTGCTGGGATTACAGGCGTGAGCCACGGTGCCCGGCCAAGAAGATCTATTTTGAGAGGTTATAAGTAATGGGGTGCAATAAAAAGGGGAAAGTAAGAGGGATTTGGGGAAGTTTTGAGGAAGGAGCAATTTGAGGGCAGCCGAGAAGAGAGAGCCCAGAAGTCCCCCTGTGTCTAGGGCTTCCACCGCGAGCTCCTGCTCAGGGGCGTGGGCGGCCGTGACCTCCCCGCTTCTCTGCCCTGGACCCGGAGAGGGGCCCCCAGCTGGCTCCCGCCGCCTGCACCTCGGAGGCCTGGGTGTGGCGATGGCGTGTGAGGACGGAGGCCCCGAGGAGGCCGGGCAGCTGCTTCTGCGGCACAAGACTCCCCGGCATTTGCAGGCGGGAGTCGCCGTGGGCGGACCCCACCCGCCCCAAGCGGCCCGGGAAGGATCAGCCGGGCATAGAGCGCCTCCCGCCTCAGCCTCCCTTTCTGTGTGCACCACACTCCAACTGTCAAAGGAACAATCCAGAAGCCAGAGCCGGCCGGGGCGGGGTTGGGATCCCGGAAGACCCTGCACCGGGAGGCCCCAGGCCCCTGCGGCAGGGGGAGGGCCGGGATCCGAGTTGTCGTGGCTGCAGAGCGATGAGTCAGGGACAGGGACTCCCCGCCCCCACGCTGGCCTCGGGGGATCCAGGGGCCGCCAGGCCAGAGCAGCGCCCGCCCCACCGCCCGACCTGCCGACCGCCCGACCGACTAACCCACTTTGCGCTGCCCAGGGCAAGGTCGCCGGGAAAGGCAGCTGGAAGCTGGGAAGTCGGGTCCGGGAAGACGTGAGTCTAACGGCCAAAACCCAGGTGCCTGTCTCCCTGGGTGGCGCCGGGTCTGCACTTCGCTCGAGCGCGCTCGAGCGCGATCGATCGTTGCAGGCCACCAACAAGGAGCAGTGGGGCGGGCAGAGGCCAGGCGGGTGGGGGGAGCCGCCCTGTGCTGGACAATGACCCTCAGAGCCAGCCACAGCCCCAGCGAGGAGGAGCACACGCCAGCAAGGCCGGCTGCGACGTCCCGACAGCTTCCTCTGGAAATTCCGGACAGGACACCCCTGAGGCTCCTCGGCGTCCAGCCGAGGGCAGGAACACCCTCCCGGGAAACAGGCCAGGGCCGTGCGGTCCCCAGGTGCCAAGCGGGGTCAGCAATGGCCCTCCCTCCCGCCCCCTGAGACCTTGGGGCTGGGTCATTGCCAGCAGCACGGGTGGCCCTGGCGGAGGGGCAGACGAGGCCCGGCCTGTCCCCATGGAGGCGCTGCTCAGCCTCAGGGGGAAGCACGTTCTCAGCGAGCCACAGCACGGAGGGAAACTGAGGACATCGCGCTCAGTGAGAAAAGCCAGTCGCAGCAAGATGCATGCCATGTGGCCCCACTTCCGTGGGGCGTGTAGAGTGGCCAGACCCGAGCGACAGAGAGCGGGAGGGCAGGTGCCAGGGAAGGTGCCAGGGCCGGTGCCAGGGCAGGTGCCAGGGAAGGTGCCAGGGCAGGTGCCAGGGAAGGTGCCAGGGCCAAGCCGACGGAGCCAGGAACTGGCATCTCTCGGGACAGTTTCAGCCGGGGACGAAGACGTCCTGGGATGGGAGGCGGTGACATGGCACAACGTGGGGGGGCTTCACGTCACAGAACGGCACTCTTGAACCTGGTTAAAGTGGTAGGCCGGGCGCGGTGCTCACGCCTGTGATCCTAGCACGCTGGGAGGCCGAGGCGGGTGGGTTGCTCGAGGTCAGGAGTTCAAAACCAACCTGAGCAAGAGCGAGACCCCGTCTCTACTATAAATAGAAACAAATTAATTGGCCAACTAATCATGAACTAGAACAAAATTTACTTGGGCGATGGGTGGCGCTGCCTGTAGTCACAGCTACTCGCGGAGGCTGAGGCAGGGGATCGCTTGAGCCAGGAGTGATGGAGGTGCCTGTGAGCGAGGGCCTGACACCAGGCACTCCACTCTACCTGGGCACAAAGTGAGAGTTGTGCTGCAAGAATAAAAAAAAAAAAAAAAAGTGGTAAGCTGGTAAATTCTGTGTCTGTATACTTTACCACAAGCAGAATATTAAATTCACCACACAACAACACATTCGAGAGAAATGCTGCTTCTAGACCCGACGCCGCGGGCTTGCTCCGTGGGGGCTGTGCTGGCGGGACCGGGCGAGCTGCGCGCCGCGGACCCCCCATCTTTGTTGCGCCCGGCCGCTGTGCCTCCCGGCAGCTAAGCCCTTTTCCTCTTCCCCCAGGATTTAGGGACATTGAAGAAGTGCCGGCGGCCGAGATGAGGACAGAGCTCCTGTGCGTGCTGCTGCTCTGGGGAGCGGTCTTCCCCTCGCCCAGCCAGGTGGGTGTCACTCGGCGTGTCCCCCGAGCTCCCTCCAGGCTTCCTACAGCCAGAGCAGGTGTCCCGCCAAGCGGGATGGCGTCCCAGAGCGTAGGGCGCGGGGACAGGGACCGCACAGCTCCAGAGCGCCGCGTGCACACGCATTTCCGCACGGGAGACTCAGGACCCAGCGCGGAGCCCTGGGCACTTGGTCCGACTTGAGAAAATGATTCTCAGTGCCATCCACTGCCTGTGCCGGCCTTCTTTGGAGCTGTTTTATTTTTGTGTGTGTGTATTTTCTTTCTTCTTTTTTTTGAGACAGAGTCTCACTCCTGTATGCCCAGGCTAGAGTGTAGTGCCGTGCTCAGCCTTGCTCACAGCAACCTCACACTCCTGGGCTCAAGCAATCCTCCTGCCTCAGCCTCCCGAGTAGCTGGACTACAGGCATGCGCCACCATGGCCCGGCATATTTTATCTATATATATATTAGTTGGCCAATTAATGTCTTTCTATTTATAGTAGAGACAGGGGTCTCACTCTTGCTCATGCTGGTCTCGAACTCCTGACCTTGAGCGATCCTCCTGCTTCGGCCTCCCAGAGTGCCAGGATGACAGGCGTGAGCCACCGCGCCCGGCCCGCACTCGCTCCTGAGAGTGCCTGGCGGTAAAGGCCATCTGCTAAGGCCAAGCGAGCCGTCCCTCTGCAGTAGGACTTCAGAGAAGGGACAGCCTGCATGGAGGAGACGTACACCCCACCGCCCAGCATGGTGGCCCCTAGCCACATGGAGCTCTTATGATATAAAATTGAAATAAAATGAAATAAATTAAAGATTCGGCTTCCCATCACGCTAGCACATTTGAAGGCTGCCGGTGGCCACACGTGGACTCGTGCGCGTGTCTGGACAGGCGGGACCTAGAAATGCCATTTTTGTCGTGGCAGCGGAAAGCTCTGGACAGCACCCGTCCAGCAGCCAAGGAAGAGCCAGACCAGGAGGCAGGAGTGGGCTCCCCCCGGGCCAGTTCCGGGGCGTCCCCGGGCAGGGGCCCTGACGGGCAGGGCCGAGGTGGGATCCCGGCCCCTAGCCTTTACCCGCAGGATGCCACGCGTGCTGAGCGCCCCACGCCTGTTTTGTTTGCAGGAAGTCCACGCCCGGTTCAGAAGAGGAGGCAGGTCTTTCCAAGGTGAGACCAAGCGGAGGACGACGGGTGTGGAGAGCTGGGGCCCGGCTCGCCCTCTGCGAGCGCCTGCTTCCTCCTGGGGGGTCTTTCCGGGCGACTCTGGAGAGACGCCTGCCCGCTCACTGTCCACCAGGCAGCCAAAGCCAGCCAGGTTCTCAGAGCCATAGGAGCCCCGTCCGCTCAAGGGGTCACAAAGCTGGGGGACCCTGCCAGCTCGGTGGCCCGAAGCCCTGGTCACACGGATGAGAGAAGAGGGAGCCAGGGGGAGAGACAGCGGCTCGCCCAGGGCCACACAGGGGCCGGCAGCCACCAGGACGGCTCTGGCCACGGCCGTCCGCACCCCGGGTCTCTTCCTGGGCTGTGGGCCGTGGGCCGTGGGCCGCTGCAGCCCACTCAGCGCCCTGCTGGCAGGCGCCCCGTGTCTGCACTTCCTTCTGCAGGCCAAGCAGGGGTAGCTAAGCAGGGCCGCCCCGCAGACGGGCGTGGTCCGAGAGCCACCTCTGTCCTGGACTCAAGAGAGTAAGGACCACGCCCACCGGGGTTCCAAGATGGAAACGCTGACAGCAGCTGCCTTGGCTCAGACATGAAGAGCTCCAGGCCCAGCCTCAGGGCCCAAACCACCCACCTGGGGCCCTCACCTGTCCTCCCTCGTGACCCAGTTCCTGTGGGTCTGGAGGACTTTTCAACCCCCTGTTCAAAGGAGACGTTTCCCCAGAGTGAGCCTTGCTTGCTGCAGGGCACGGTGTTTCCTGCAAGGGTCCCCTGTCCTCAGCAGACCTCCAAAAGCAGCAAGGATATTATTTACAGTGAGCATATGGTTACTCCTTTACGTAGCTAAAAGAAAACTTTTTTTTTTATTAAGTTGGTATTCTGGTTGGAAAACAGAGAAAAATGGCAAGAGAATATTAAGAGGGGTGCTTCAACTTTTCATGATACCAGAAACACAGATGAAAGTAGCACATTTCTGCAAAGATTAAAGTGTCAGTTTTCTTTGTTTGGGCCCAAATACACCATCTCTGTGTGGTAATAATACTCATGGGGCCGGGTGCGGTGGCTCACGCCTGTAATCCTAGCACTCTGGGAGGAAGCGGGGGACGATCGAGGTAGGAGTCGAACCCTGAGCAAGAGCGGACCCGTCTCTTACTAAATAGAACAATTAATTGGCAGCTATTATATGAAAAGTCAGCGCGCATGGTAGATGCATGCCTGTGTCCAGCTACTCAGGAGCTGAGGCAGGAGTCACCTGAGCCAGAGTTGGAGTTGCTGTGAGCTAGATGATCGCCACGGTACTCCACTCTAGCTGCACACAAGCGGCTCTGTCTCAAAAATAAATAAAATGACAAAGTGAAAATTAGAACACTTATTAAATGTATTCTGTAATTTTTTTTCAAACAGCCATCAGAGGAAACAATAAAAGGGTCTTTGTGAACAATGTATTGTATCTAGTTGTAGGTTTTTAGAGGATACACGATGGGAGGGAAGGTTTTTATCGGCACGTCTGGGCGCATATGGATTTGAGCATGTTTCCGAGGTGTCTGCCTTCGTGTAGTGACCTGCAGACGAGGAACAGATACCTACCAGAACCCATCGTGGCGCGGCAATGTCAGAAGCAGCGTGGATAACTGCAGGTGCAGCAGGGACGGGCGCAGTGCCACTCCGTGCCGTCAAGAGTACGTCATCCGGCGCGGCGGCTCACGCCTGTAACCCTAGCACTCTGGAAAGCAAGCAGCGATCGATGAGCTCAGGAGTTTGGTCTACCTGAGCAAGAGGACCCTGTCTACTAAAAAATAGAGAAAAAATTCCGGGCATAGGTGGCGCACACCTGAGTGCCCAGGTACTGAGCGAGACTGAGGCAAGGAGTCGCTGAGCCAGAGTTGGGTTGCTGGGCTTAGGTGACGCCAGGTCATCAATCTAGCTGGAACAGGGTGAGACTCGTCTCAGAAATGTATTATATTATATAAATTTTACTCACATTATTTTTGGAGCTGCTTTGAAAGTCCAATTGACCTTTGAACAACACGTTTTTTGAACTGTGCGGTCCACTTCTATGGATGTTTCTGAGCAAAGGTGGATAGAAATGCAGTACTGATGGGGTGTGAACCATGTCGGCCCCCACCCACCGTGGGCCCTGAGCCCGCGTGTTTTGGTACGTGGGTGCTGGGCCCCGTCCACCCCCGAGTGCACCGAGGGACAGCTGTGACTCGAGGTTTCCTTGTCTATACTTGACAGGTTGCAGCGAACCCAAGTGCTTCAACAGCGGGACGTGTCTGCAGGCTTTGTACTTCTCGGACTTCGTCTGCCAGTGCCCCGAAGGATTCGCTGGGAAACGCTGTGAAATCGGTGAGTGGGAGGGTGGGTGTGAGACAGGGACTGGAATCCCGGCTCCCGGGTCTGCCCGGAAAGGAGAGGAGGTGTGACGGGCCAGGGTGGCCGGGGACTGGGCCGAGCCACGGTGCAGTGCTGGCCGGGGCAGAGCCTCTCGGAAGGCTGAGCGGAAGGGGGTTCCCAGGAGAGCCTTTTCCTGCCCCCCCCAGACACCAGGGCCACGTGCTACGAGGACCAGGGCGCCAGCTACAGGGGCACGTGGAGCACGGCAGAGAGCGGGGCCCAGTGTGTCAGCCTGCGGGTAGCTGTGATCCCTGTGACCCTCACCCTGCGGTAGCCATGATCCCCATGACCCATCACCTGCCGGTAGCCTGATCCCCATGACCCTCACCTTGTGGTAGCCGTTGGTCCCGTGACCCTCCACCTGCGGTAGCTGTGGCCCC